TCATGCTCAGATGCCGAGGAGCTCAGAAGGTGGGTGACTGTGACCAGTGATAGTCATGTATATAGAGATTAGAAATGCATGTGAAAACGTCTCAATGTCAAGAGCCCTGGAATGAATTTTTCTCTATGAAACTGTGTATTTTAACAACGAAGTGGAGATCTTTTTTAAACGTTAAAACCTCATTTAATTTTGTGTCTTATAGAGTTTATAATGAGTAAAAGATTATATAAGCGTAATAATTCATCTGTAAACATAGAAATGTACAGCCAATTTTGAAAGAGATGTACCCTAGCTCAGAAAAATGTTGTTGAATAGGTTAATACTGTTGTAATGAAATGCTTCTTTTAATTAAAAAAATGAATAAATAAATAAATAAATAACTTATTGCAAATTTCAAAAAAGAGGCATACTTGCAAAAAGTTGCTTTTCCTTATCTCTGTTGAAGTAATTCTTCCACTCCAAGATCTGTTGACTGTGTAGAATATCCTCTGAATAACCTGGTTCCAAAAGCAAACAAAACAATTAAAAGCAGTTAAGCTTTCTATTACTTTGCAAAAAAGCCATCTTCTGAATATTATGTGGAACTAATTTAAGTACTGGCTTTTGATATCAATATTCCTAGCATAAAATAAAAGTATGCATATTAGCCGGGCGTGGTGGTACATGCCTTTAATCCCAGCACTCGGGAGGCAGAGGCAGGTGGATCTCTGTGAGTTCAAGGCCAGCCTGGTCTACATAGCGAGTTCCAGGACAGCTGGGGCTACAGGAAGACCCTGTCTCAAAAAGACCAAAAAAAAAAGTATGCATATTAATCCTATACTTATACAGTTTGAATTTGTCTCTATAAGGGAAAAGAGTTCATGTTCTCAAGTTTTCAATTCCCAGCTACTTACATATCACTTCCTTTGTTTGCCTCTCACTTATGTAGGGATGCCTAGTTCAAGCAATGCTTATTGGGCTGGGTAAATCTGGTGAGGAAATGAGGTGGGAAGTATTTACTGGGTTGTCTTAAGGATCTCAGTCAGAAGGATGGCTGTCAAATTGGTATCATTCAAAAGGGCATTATTTTGGTTATTAAAACCATATTCACCAGAATCGTAAAGGTTTCTTGTTTTCTAGACTCTATGAAACTCATACATATGTCTAGGGTAATTTATACACTGACCTTCATTTGGTCATGAACAGCCTAATGGGAGCTAAACCACCACTTCTGTTATTAGTTAGTGGTTTAGTGAATTTAGCAAAGTGAAACTCTGGAAAAAAAACAGAGATAGGATGGGATGAAGACTAGAAGCATATGTGTTTAGGCTGGAGACTTTGTTTGCTACAGTGTACGGGAGGGCTAGAGAAGGAAGATGGGCTGCATTCCTAGAAGTAGGAGGCCACAATGCATTCCTAACAATTTTATTTCTGTTATTCAAACCCACTTATTTTCCCATACAACTAGAATTTCACCAAAAAGAGAAGAGCAATTTAGATAGTTTTTGGTACGGCTGGCTTTATTTTATTTATTTTTTAATATTTTATTTTTATTTTGTCTTCCCCCCCCCCCCCCCGGAGCTGAGGACTGAACCCAGGGCCTTGTGCTTGCTAGGCAAGTGCTCTATCACTGAGCTAAATCCCCAACCCCCAAATATCTTATTATTATTATTATTTTATTTTATGTGTATGAGTGTATTGCCTGCATGTATGTGAGTGCACCCATGTCGTGCAATGCCATGGAGGTCAGAAGAGAGCTTTGGATTCCTCTGGAACTGGTGATAAGGACGTTCATAGCCACCATGTGGAATCGAACCTGGGTCCTCTGCAAGAGCAGTCAGTGCTCTTAACTGCTGAGCCATCTCTCCAGCCCCTATTTTATTTTATTTTTGAGACAAAGTTTCACTATATAGTCCAGGCTGGCTTCTGACTTGGGATCTTTCTGCCTCTGCCACCTGATTGTTGGGATCATACAGGTATGTGTCACCACACTCAACTCTCTGGGGCTTAGCAGTCTAATAATAGAGAAATCCAGGATCCTTGATGATAGAGGGTTGTGTTTTAGTCAATGTGGTATTCTCACCATTAGCTTGACAATTCATATAAAAAGTGGAGAATTTTTAGCACAGAAATTTGATACAGGAAAATAAGTATTAAGAATCTCGTTTATCTGGGCATGGTCACACATGCCTCTAATCCCAGCAGAGGCAGAAGGATCATGAATTAGAAGCTTAGCTAAACTGCATAAGTTCCAGGCTAACCTGGGTTACACAGCAAGACCTTGTCTCAATTAAAAAAGCAGAAACAAGACTCATGTATCAAAATTTCACATCCTCTCTTTCAAAATCAATCACTAAATTATTTTTATTCTATGTGTCTGAGTGTTTTCCCTGCACTAAATTATTATTTTATGTGTATGAGTGTTTTGCCTGCATGTACATAAGTGCACCACGTGCATGCAGTGTCCACGGAGGAGGCCAGAAGAGGACGTTGGATCTCCTGGAACTGGAGTTACAGATTGTTGTTAGCTTCCATATTTGTGTGGGGAACTAAACCTAAGGGCTATGCAAGAGCAGCCAATGTTCTTAACTGCTGAGCCATCTCGCTAGCCCCCATTTTTGGTTTTTTTTCAGACAGGATCTCACTATATATCCCTGGCTGGTCTAGAACTTGCTTTGTAGATCAGGCTGGCCTCAAACTCACAGAGATCCACCTGCTTCTGCCTCCTGAGTGTTAGGATTAAAAGTGTGTGCCACCACACTCAGCCCCTAAAATTTTTTAAAATTACATTTTATTTCAAATTTATTGTGTGTTTCTCTGTGTGTGTGTGTCTGTGTGGGTATGCATACATACCATGGCACATGTGTAGATATCAGAGGACAATTTGGGTAGTCAGTTCTCTTCTTCTACCATGTGGGTCCCAGGGATGTAACTCAGGTCATTAGGCTTGGTGGCAGGTGCCTTTACCTACTGAGCCGCCTCACCAGCTGTGGTAGTTTGAATGAGAAGTGTCCCCCCATGGGCTCAAGCATTTTAACACTTGGTCAGTTGGTGGCATGGTTTAGGAGGAGGATCATGGAAGCTTCAGGAGGTTTGGTCTAGCTGGAGAAGCATGTCACTGGGGACAGGCTTTGCAAGTTCATACAAGGTGGCAACAGTGAACAAAGGATAGGGCGTGCCTAGTGTTAGCAATGGAAAAAGGTATACCAAATGGACTTTGAAGGACCCAAGGCTTTTAAAGTCAATTGGTATCACTCCCACACTGACCAAGTAGTGGGGTGCATTGGGTGTCAAACTGGTACTTTTAACACTTTAGTGCCTGACTGCTGTTCTTCACTGACTTGACTCAGTCACTTGTAGCTTTATTGGTCTGAACCAGCTCCTTGTTCCCAGGTTACAGATCTGCCTATCATTCCAATAATCCTGTTTCACTTGAATGAAGCGAGTATGTCTTAAATGCAAAGCTTCTGGTTCTCACACTGTATTCTGAGGTCCAAATGACTATCTGTCATGTAACCTGATGTCTCAACCTCCCGGTGAGAAGAGTCAATTCTTTGGTGTTCACCAACATGGGAGGCTTCACCAGAATAGGCTTTTACTTTGGGCTCTGCTGTTTGATTGCAGAGCACCCAAGAGCAGGCAAGCATGCTCTCTTCCCAGCAGTACCTTAGGGTTTTGCCATTGTAAATGGGTCTAATGTGATATGATAAGACCAGAGAAATGGGATGTAAATTTACATTTTGAATATGCTTGTGTGCTGGATAGCTTTAGTGTCAACTTGACACGCCTGGGTTGAGGGAGCCTCAATTGGGGAATTTCCTCCATTGGACTGGCCTGTGGCCATGTCTAAGGGGCATCTTCTCGATGAGTGATGTGGGAGGGCCCAGCCCACTGTGGGTGGTACTACCCCTGGGCAGGTGGGCCTGTGCTGCATAAGAAAGCAGGTCGAGCAGGGGCCAGGGGAGCAAGCCAGTAAGCATCATTCCTCCATGGCCTGTGCTCTAGCTCCTGCCTCCAAATTCCTGCCCTGAGGAGTTCCTACCTTGGGCTCCCTGATGAACTGTGACCTGGTGATATATATTGCATTATATATTGATGTGTGGATCAATATATACTGATATGTATTACATGTACAAACACATAAGTAAGAGGGGTGAAAACTGCAGCCTTTGCATTCTCTGTAGCCTCTGCAGAGAGATCCTAAACAGCAAAAACTTGGTGTTGTGATGTACAGAAATGGAGAAGAGTATTAAACTTACTGTTTGTTGTTGGAGATGTGAGCTCTTGACTTTCTGCTCCTTCCACCTCCTGCAGTCATGCTTCCCTTGCCACTATGGACTCTCCCTCTGGAACCCCAAACCCAAATAAACCTTTCCTTCTATAACTTGCCTTGGTCATGGTGTTTTATCTCAGCAACAGAGATGTAGCATAGAAGTTGGTACCAGAGTTTGGGCTGCCACTGTGAAGAACCTGACCATGTTTTCTGAAGGAGTGTGTTAAGACTTTGCAACTTTGGTCTAGAAAAGTTTAAATGGTATAAGCAGAGCTTAATGGACCTTTCTAATAGAGGCCTGGCTCAAGGTATGTTTTAGAGGGAGAAAGAAACAAGGACTTAAACATTAACTGGGATATTTTGGCAAAGAATCTGGCTGCTTTTTGCTCCAGGCCTAAGAAATTGCCTGAGGCTAAATTAAAAAGTAATAGACTCATTTCTTTGGCAGAGAAAATATCAAGACAGCTTAATGCTGAATCTGTAGATTGGTTATTAATGATAAATTTTAGGGTGGTTTACAGTAAAAAAAGAGTAAGTGGGGCATAAAGAAGTACAAACTGTCTGAAGAAGAAACACTTTGAAGCTTAATGTTGCAGTTAAGGTATATGCTGAAAGAGAGGCTCCCATTTTTAAGGAGATTAGAGCTCTAGATTTTCACCAGAACAGTGGAAAGAGTACCCTAAGGGCAAAACTCCACCCAGCTAAGCTTCCAGCATATGAAAGGGGTTTTCTGCTCCAACATACAAAGGCAGCTAATAATCTGGATACAGGGGAGAATGGTCCATCCCAAGCTGGCAGCTGGACATGGCAATGTAGTCCATGTGGTGTTGGTTTTAGAGGCATGAGAGATTCAAGAGTGAATGGGTTATCAAGTTTTTCCTCCATAGTGTCAGAGAGCCATGGATGCCAGGCAGTATGTGGCAGGGGAGTTCCTGCATGAAGGTGGCCCTGGAAGGCCACCATGTGAATCCTGGGCTGCAGTGATGTTGGAGATGCCAGAGCTATCAGACATCTGCCAAGGAGAGCTGTATACAGGGAGTGGAATCAACCCAAGATGAGAGAGAGAGAGAGAGAGAGAGAGAGACAGAGACAGAGAGGCAGAGAGAGATTGCAGGAAGCAAAGCTGAAGGGGCTGAGCCATCTAAAGTTCCAGACATTGGACCTGGAGCTACAGAATTTGGTGTTTGTCCTGCTGGTGGTTTTCAGTCTTGCTTTGGTCCCATATTTCCTCACTATGCCCCTATT